TATCTCTGTCCCCACAGAGTACTGGGGACACAGTACTGGAATTGCAGTGCTCAGCACCATGCCTAGCTTTTGGGTTGTTCGTTTTTATGTGGTGCCAGGAGTCTAGCTTCAGGTCCCCAGGCTTGTGCAGCAGCCGTTTTCTGACTAGCCGGCGCCGGCCCCCCGCCCCCAGCCTACAGTGTATTTAAGTTAATTAAACGGCCAACTTCTGTAAAATAAAGTGAAAAGCTACCCAGAAAACTCATGGATCATGGCTTTGCCTATATTAAGAAAAATACTCATTTTTAATCTTAATAAGAAAGTAGCACTGTAAATTTCATTATGTATAAATAAGAATGTCTCTTCTGCAAATTATATTAGATACATTTACAGAAATGCATGCTTTGCTTTCAGTAAGAACTTATGATTAAATTGTAGAATTTGTGTTTTAAAGAAATAACACAACCACTAATGTGACTGTGAAATGAAAATACAGCTTGAGAATGAAATACAGATTTCTTATCAAATATAACAAGGGCGCAGGCCTGGCTGCCCTATGCTAAATCAATTGTTTCTGAGTGCTAAGATATGCCACCTGCTGGAGGAGTATTCTGTGATTTTGCAAAGCAAACCATTATCCCTTTTACCCTTACAGATACGGAGAGGGAGAATCAGTATGGGGACCAGTAGTTCTGACCGTCAGACTCTCAGCGTGCAGGAATGTTTAGTGCTTATAGTGTGCCAGCCTCGTTCTTATGATGATCACCCAATATTGAGATACATTACTGAACGACACAGACAACACCTGTCCTCACCAAGTCTGAATTCAGTAAGAGTCACAAGACACCACTAGGAAGTACAGGATTAGAAGGGACTGAGAGTGCCTGAGCGGATTGTTAGGTAGTCATGCTGAGGTGTGAGGGTCTGGTGTGTAGGGAAGATATGGCTCTAGTTTTCGGTTGCATGGTTACAGGAGGTCTAACCACAGATGCTGTAAGAAGACAGATACACGAATCTCCAGGCAAGAGCTCTGCCCGGGGGAATCCACAGCTATAGGACTGAGTTCCATCTGATGCTTACGAAATAATCTTATGCAAAAGATTAACCCCACTTAGAAAGTGGGTGAACAGTGTATCAGAGTGATGTGCTCAGGGGCACGGAACTTGTGGGTAATCCAGCCCGCACTGAAAGCTGGGCTTGCTGACCACCTGTCGAGTATCTTGCTTCTTTGTATCTTTGTTCACCAGCACAGAGGAGAGCACTCTTACTCTTAAGATATCAGTGAGAGGTCACCACTATGGTCGTGATTATCATCAGTTGACACCACTGATGTCTCTTCAAAGGTCAAATAAAGCTCACATTCACTGATGTTTTTAAAGTTCTAAGATTAATTTCATTTTTCTCTTTCTGTGCCTTATTTTTTTCTTTCTGTGCCTTATTTTTTTCTTTTCTTGGGTGGATCACCTTAATACAAAGCTGTCATTTAAAGTAATGATTATTCTTTGAATATTATTCTTTGAATGAGCTATAAAACAGAAGCCATTATGATTTAACAAGAGAAAGGACAGAGGGAACAACAGGGAGACATGGGGCCCAGTGATTCAGAGAATGGCATTTCTCAGCAGAGGAAAGAAGTTAAAAATCAGAGACCAAAAAAGTAGAGACCTATAGGAAAGGAAAATAAGAGAGCTGGAGTGGAGGCGAGAAAGGCGAAAAACCATTTTTTCAAACAAAACCTGAGAATATTGGACAAAAAAGAAAGAAAGAAAGAAAGAAAGAAAGAAAGAAAGAAAGAAAGAAA